TATCACTCATTCAACATTTTTTCAAGAGTTGCTTTGTGCAAATTGACATACTCTCCTTAAAGATATAAACATAAGTTCTGGTAGCTGGGTTCAAATCATTCATAGTCTAAGACACAAAAAACTATTAAACTGATTTATTCTTTTCCCCAGTCTTCATCAGATCTGTACCCCTTCATGTCACATTTTGTAAACTCTTTACGAATTTTCCAAATCTTAGTAGGTGCTTTTTTGCTCTATTTAAACATCAACAGCACATGAGAAACTTGTACCACTTTATAAGCTACCTTGCTTGCTAAAATCACATCCCAGCAGGACATCCCATAAGCATCTAAACTTTACTGTGATGTTCTGAGTTCCTTCCTCACTCATTTGGAGTATCAACGGGAAGCCTGGGGCAACTTGGGGCAACAACGATAGGAAGGCTCTGAGTAGAGGTCCTGCCATTGTACTTTCCAGCCATTCTGAGAGGAGAGCAGGCAGCCATGAAATGCAAAGACTGCGCCGGGTGTGCTATACAATAAAGCACAGGAACTGGAGAGATGGCTCCGTGGTTACAAGCACTTGGTGTTTTTGAAGAGGACATGACCGGTTTACAGCACCGGCATGGCTCATGGCCATCCGTAACTCCAGTCCCAGGGTTTCTAACGCCCTCTTCTGAGTGTCGCTAACATCAGGCACGTTCATGGTATGCATGGGTATATGCAGGAAAACAGTCACACACATAAAATAAATAAATCTTCTTTTAAAAAGTCATATGAACACAGTACAGAGCATGAGCTGAGGTCTGTAAATGAAGCAAGGCTGGCTCAGAGGGGTGGAAGAGACAGGCAGGAGGAGAAGGAACACTCCGATCCAGAGGAAGAACAAAGGCAGAGGTCTGAAGTTAGGGAGAACACAGTAAAGACAGAGGCTGGATTTCAAATCTCAGGTTAAGAGCAATGGGAATATATCAAAAGGTTAAAGAGCTGGACTCACATAGGATTCCTTCCAATTCCCTAGGCGATCTGCGAGGTATTAAGAAAATCAGTGTGGAAATGTGTCAATGACTGAAGACATTCAGAACAGAACACACAGTACTACAGGTAAAAGGTGCCAAAGGAAGGCTAAGGAATACCAGGTTCTGTTTAGAACACTGCAATCTGGGGTGGTTTCTTAATTGCATTCCTCATCTATGAAAGGAGAAGGCTTCTGAATTCAAAATGTCCATACTTGCTCCAAACAGCAAATATGGTAACACTTAAAAATGCTCCCTTCCTCTAAAACGTGAGCTCCTTGACGTTAGACTATCTGCCATATTCACTGCCATATGCAACCCCGAGGGCATGGATACCTGGGCAAGGATGGAAGTCTGCGGATGGCAGACTCGTGGAAAATCACAACCAGCATCATTCAGTGGTTAAACAAAACACAGTGAACAGTGTGTGCAAGAAGTCTGTCCAGGGACAGCCTCCACAGGAGGTGCCAGCTAGTGTGCCAGGTACCTCCAGAGCGACCACAGGGCTGGCTGCTCAGCTGGGCAGCACAGTCAAAGATAAGTGACATCCACTTCATCAGGGAAGTTAGTGCTGGGACAACCACGTGTTCCACTTGACACTTCTTCCCAAGAGACAAGAGGCCTAAGGTAGATACCTTTCACTAATATAACCCATCACTTCCAGTGACTATTCATGTCTGTATCAAGTGTAGCATCACAATAAAAACAATTTTATGTATGCCTAGTTTGCCTACATTATCTCTATGCACCTTGCACAGGCCTGGCACCCACAAGAGCCAGAAGAGAGCATCAGGTCCCCTGGAACTGGAGCTACAGATGGTTGTGAGCTGCCATGTAGGTGCTGGGAACTGAACCTGGGTCCTCTGCAAGAGCAGTCAATGCTCCTAACCTCTGAACCATCTCTCCAGCCCCCTCTTTACAATAAATTTGAATGTAACTTCCTATGTGTTACCTGTATTGTAGTCTTAACTATGCACATCTGCTTTCTTGAAGTTTGTAACTGAAGGTAAAAAGCGAAGGCAAGAGGAAAAATGTGACAAGACCTACGGTTTTCCTTGCCATTTACTTGCTTTGTAACAATAACCATTCAGTGAATGCTTACTTGGTTCCAGGCGTAGACATTGGCAACTTGGCCAGTGTGTCCTCTACTACCACAAACTCTGACAATGTAAAGCGTGTTGATGCCATTACATGGGCAGAAACCATGTGCTCAAGATTATAGGTTGTTAAGGGGCAAAATCAGGTTTGAATCTAGGTCTGCTGGCTAATATCCAGTCTTTACTGCAGGTAGCATGATAATCTTCTAAAATAAGCAAATGTACATGACAAAAGCAGCCACTTGCAGGACATTCAGTGCGGTACTGTTAGGGTCTTTATAACAATATCTCATTTAATGTTCTGGAAGTTTGCAGTTTGGGATGAGAACGCTTCAGTTTAGAGAAGCTCAAACTTGCCCGAGTTTTTAAAAGTACTTGAGTAATGGAGCCTGGATTTTAATTTTAACCCAGGTCGGTCTGACCCCACTCAACCACTCAACCACTAATAAAAGTTTCACTACTCAAACACAGCACTACAACTTGTACAACTCTAAAAGAGAATGTCAAAACGTTAGGACAGGGTCAATACAACATCTTAAAGATAACTCAAAATAACCACTGCATTAAAATACTCCTTCAAAAGCCATTACTGAGCATTTTCTCTGCAACTATCCTCTTTTCTTCTCCCCCAATAGCCTCTAGAGTTATCTAAACCAGCATTTTTACTACATGTGCTTCTCTTCCTCCATCTGATAAGAAATGAAGCAATCTATTTCTAAACCCGCCCATTCCTTTAAACACAATTTATATCCCTGCATCCAAATCTCAAAAGGCACTATTTTTAATGTTTCATTTATTTTTATGTGCATTGGTGTTTTGCCTACATGTATGTCAGTGTAAGGTTACCAGATTCCCTGGAACTGAAGTTACAGACAGTTGTAAGCTGCCATGTGGGTGCTAGGAATTGAATCCAGGTATATTTGGAATTTTCATTGGGCCACCAACCAGCTCTCAAATAAAGACACGGAGACTTATTATTAATTATGGATGCTCAGCCTTAGCTTAGGCTTCTCCCACTAGCTCTCCTAATTTAACCTTTTTCTCTTCATCTACATTTTGCCTCAGGGCTTTTTACTTTTCTTTCATTCTGTATGTCCTCTTTACTATTTCTTCTGTGTCTGTCTGTCTGACCCCTGGCATCTCCCTGGCATCTCAACTGCCCCCTCCCCACACACCTACTCTCCCTGCCCAGAAGTCCCACCTATACCTCCTCCCTTGATACTGGCTATTTAGCTTTTTATTAGACCAATCAATTGCCTTAGGCAGGCAAAGTAAAACAGCAGCACATCTTTATATAATTAAACAAATTCAACACATCATTACATAGTTAAAGAAATATTCTGCAACACCCAGGTCCTCTGGAAGAGCAGCCAGTGCTCTCAACTATTGAGTCAGATCTCCAGCCCTAAGAGACACTATATTAGTTACTACATAATTGTTATCACTGGAAAATGTTCTTTGAGTAGACAGGATGATGTTTGGTCACTGTGAAAACTGCTCACAGCACCCATAAGTAATGGATCTACTGTCCCATAATTATTTGAGTCAGAATCTTGGTATATAGCACTTGCTTCCCTGGAACTCACTGCATAGACCAGGCTGGCCTCAAATTTGCAGAGATCTTCCTGCCTCTGCCTCCTGAGTGCTGAGATTAAAGATGTGCACCAGCAGCCGGGCATTGGTGGCGCACGCCTTTAATCCCAGCACTCGGGAGGCAGAGGCAGGCGGATCTCTGTGAGTTCGAGGCCAGCCTGGTCTACAGAGTGAGTTCCAGGACAGCCTCCAAAACAATACAGAGAAACCCTGTCTCAAAAAAAAAATGCACCAGCAAGCCTATCTCATTTCACAACGGATTACAGTGATGTCAAACATTCCAAAAACATTCCTATCATGACTGTCTGATAGTCAGTCAGAAAAATTTTCTCTAAACCAAAAGACTCCTCAGTCATGTCTCCCTGGCAACTTTGATAAATCCTCCCAGGAGAGTCATTTTGTAGGTAAGAAAGTATAAGTTCAATAAGGAAACCTAACTTTGTTGGTCTCCAGATTGAGCAAACATGAATAGAACTTCCTCATTTCTATCAAGAAGTTTACTCAACACAGCTTTCACACTCAATGGGTTTGCAAACCAGATAGCTGTCCAGCTATTACTTTAAACAGTAAAAGAGAAGAAGAAGCCTGGAAATTCTTAGGAAAACCTGGGAATTGAAATGCAAGTATAAAAGGCTTACTTACCCAGCCACAGTCTGGCATGAGGGAGTCACGGCGCAGAAACCATGGAGGAGTGCTGCCTACTGGCTGGCTGACTGTGGATTGCTCAGCTGGCTTTTCTATGCCATCCAGGACACCTGCCCAGGGGTGGAACCATCCACAGTAAACTGGGCTCTCCCACATCGACCATTAATCAAGAAGATGTCCTACAGACTCACCTACAGGACAATCTTCTCAATTAAGATTCCTTCTTCCCAAATGACCCTAGCTTGTGTCAAGATGACATAAAAATTATCTAGCACAAGTACTGCGTTTAAATAACTGCCAATCTGATAGAAAAACAGTTAACTTCTGGTTGAGGAATTCCACTGGATTTTCTTTTCAAGTACAGAAGCAGCCAACTGCCGGTGCCCTAGAGAACTAAAACTTTAGAGGCAGACACCCTAGGTTCCAATCACCCTGCTAAATGCATCCTGACTTAGAACAAAGTGCTTTAACTCCCAGAGTAGAAATTCACCTTGAATGGAAATGATGATATGAATGCTTTGAGGTACAGTTGAGAAGGATTTTATTGTAGATATGTGGGAGACAACAGCCAGAGGCATCTGGAAGAATCCAGACTGAACCAGGTCATAAAAGGGGGCGGGGAGAGAACAAGTGACCCAAGAGAGGAGAACCAAGACATCATGTGGCCATAATGGCTGGGTTCTTCTGCAGGGGTCAGAAACTGGGGGAAGGGAAGAGAAGGCCCTGGGCTCGAGAGGTTGAGGGGAGTGACGGGCGAGATATGCAAAGAGGTGCCAGGATGCCAGCCACATGGACTCTGTGACAGGTACCCGCATGCCGAGCCAGCCCAAGACCAACAGGCACCTTGTATGCCACTGGGCACCAGTAAGCCATTCCTGCTGAGTGTCTTTGGAACCTGACACACCTATCATGGTACTTTATTGGGCATTAACATGAAGCTTTTAGCCCAAGACAAATGGCAAATGATAGGCAGTGATGGTCAAGGTGTAAGGCAAAGCTGGAAGCCATTTGTGGCTATACTGTGGTCACATATTTGTGTTCCATTTTTAGCCAAACAAATCATCTTCTGTTTATTAATCTGTAAGAGCTCCTTATAAATTCTGGGTAATAACTGTTTGCTGCATATGTGGCCAACCGTTTTCCCATATTGACATTAGTCTTATGTACCAAGCTGTCATTAAGAAAGAACTCTCAAAGAATTGTATCTGCTTTCTTTTTTAAGTTTTCTCCCTCCAGTTCTGCTAATGCTGTCACACCTACAAAGACCTTTAATAGTGCCACCACAAGGCACAAGACAGTTAATTTGACATGTATAATGATTTTATGATGCTACTTTTATAGAACTCTTATTTACCTTTAAATAATGTTGATGTTAAGATTTAACTTCATTCTTTTTACCCCTAAATGACTTGCATATAATACCAACCCTTTATAAATTCTTCAAATTCAAAAATTATTTAAAATAACAATAAGAACTCTTATTCTTAGCTTAAAATTCTGAAATCAATAAGCCATAAAAATAAATGGGCTTGTAGCATACACTCCTGATGGGGGAAGTCCTTCTGTGTATATGTTGTCCTATTGGCTGATAAATAAAGCACTGTTGGCCAATAGGGAAGCAAGATAGGTGGGACTAGGAGTCAAGGAGGATTCTGGGAAATGTAGTCAAGAGTGGGAAGTTGTGCCATGTGGTTGCAGGAAGAGAGGACACATGAGTCTGCATTCTTGATAAGGTAAGACCTTATAAATATATATATTAGTAATTATGGGTTAATAATTAAGTCAGAGATAGCCATTAAGAAACCATAGCAAACAGCCAACAGCTTCATAATTAATATAGTGTCTTGTGTGTTATTTGGGGGCTGAGACAGCGGCAGGACCCAGGCAGCTGGTGAGGAAGAGTACACGTTACACACTCCCATCCCAAAAGGGAGGACTGGAGAGATTAGACCAAAGCAAGACTGAAAGTCAGCAGGGAAAACACCAAGTGCTGTAACCCAGGCCCCATATCAGAGCCTCGGGTTCAGAGGGCTAAGGGCTCTGCCTCTTCAGTTTTGCTATGCACAGCACACATCTCTCTCTTGTGCAGTCCTACCTCTCCAGCTCTGCTATCTGCAGCACGTGTAGCTTGTCCCTCAGGCCCAGCTAGCTCCACTTCATAGCTTCTCCATTGGCAGTCATCCTGTGATCATCACATCTCCAGTACCCCGGGTCACCACCGCAGTGAGGCTGCACTTCACCACGGGGCTCTTCTGGCCTCCCTTTAGGGCTCTACCCATGTCACACAGGGCCAGGCCGCAGTTGAGCTCTATGACTCCCTTGGTCTTGCAGCTTTCAAGTCTTCAAAACTAGCACCACATAAAGGTCTCTTTCATGTTGCCTAGTTCAGACACGAGCTTCAGATTTAGGCTTGGCCTGCTTGGATCACAGCTTCTGTGTGCTGGCCCTATGGTCACATTGGAGCACAGAAGAGTTCAATCACCTCAATGATGCTGGACTCTTGTTAATCACAGCTACATTTGCAGACCCAGCTGCCCAGCATCCTTTATCCCAGGAAAGCATAGACTATTTCACATCAATAGTGCTGGTCTCTTGTTAATCACAGCTGGTTCTTCAGCCCCAAGTGGTCAATAATTGCAGATTCTTAATCCAAAATGCCACATGCATGACTGATAGAGTCCCTGCTGCCCTCCGAACTTTACATGCCAGTCCTCCATTGTCTGCATTTCCCTCAACATTCCATGTTGGCTCAGCTTCCATGGAACAGCCCACTAACCTCTGAGCACTCAGTGACTTTTCTAAATGCTTCCACAATACTCCCCAAAATAACACAGTCTGCAATCACAGCAATCCCCTGTCCTTAACACCAACTTCTGTTCTAGTATTCTTTCATTTGCTATAACAAATCACTCTGACCAAAAGCAGAGAGGAACTGGTTGGTTTGGCTTACACTTCCAAGTTAGAAGCCATCACTGAGGGAAGTCAAGACAGAAACCCTAAGAAACCCTGCTTACTGTTCACACTATAGTCCCTCACTGGCTGGTGCTCATCTAGCTTAGCTTTCTTCCTCAGCCCAAGTTCACCTGCCTAGGGAGGCTGCCGTGTGCCCTTCCACATCTGCCATCAGTCAAGACAACCTCGCAGGTGTAGCCACAGGCCAATGTATCTGGTGGTCCTTCAGCTGTCACTCCCTTGTATGTCTCTAGGCTCTGTCAAGTTGACAGCTAAAGCCAGCCAGGACAGGAGGTTAATCTTAATTATCAACTAAATAACATCTATAGAGTTACCTGAAGATGACCCCTGGGCATGTCTCTGGAAGATTAACTGGATGAGGTGAAAAGACTCACATATTGTGAGTGGCCCCATTCCCTAGACGGTGTTAAGAAAGGAGGGAGGGAGGGAAAGAAGGAAGGAAAGAAGGAAGGAAGGAAGGAAGGAAGGAAGGAAGGAAGGAAGGAAGTTGAGCTGAGCACAGGCACCCATTTCTCTCTTCTTCCTGACTGTGGATACAATGTGAGCAACTGCTCCAGGTTTCTCCTGGCTGGACTTCTCCTGCCACGATAGACTGTCTCACGAATCTGGGCCCACATATACCCTTCCTTCCTTAAGTCGCTTTGGTCATGGCATTTATCTCAGCAACAGGTAAAGATACTAGGACAGTCTGGGAGGGGGTTTCTAGGTTGGGGAGGTAGAGGTGGGAAGACACTTCCTGAATGTGGACAGTGTTCCGTGGTCTGGGAGCCAGAATGAGCAGAAACAAGATGAACCATACCCTAGAACCATGAGTCAAAATAGACCCTTCTGGGTATTTCATCACAGCTATGAGAAAGGCACGCAGTACAAAACTCCTCTTTCTACTGTACCAGACTCTGTCAGCTAATGTGTTTATCAGGATGCATCCATGCTCGTGAGGTTAATGATTTCTTTTTACAGCATCTGTGCCAAAGTTTGGTAGCCATAGCATACTGGCTTCCAATTTCTTGCCTTACATACTATTTTGTTTTTATTTTCTATATTTTAATATTTTATATTTAATGATTTAAAAAAATACTATATGGAAGGCTAGAGAGATGGTTGAGTCCTTTTTCTTTCAGGGGACCTGGGTTCACTTCCCAACGGCCACATAGAACTCCAGTTCCAGGGGGTCCAACACTATCTTCTGTCCTCTGAGCACCGTGCAGATGTGTTATGCAAATATGCAAAATGCCCATAGACATAAAAATAAATAAGCCCCATCTTCTCCCTCATTTATACTCTTCACTAGTACCAGGTAATCTTTTTCCGTCCACAAGAATCATTTTCTCTAATTGGGTAGACTATTTAGTTACATAGTGACTCATGCTGGAATCACACCCCTTTCTGCTCATAGACCCCTGCAAGACGCATTAGGGCAGGGCTGGCTCTGGTCTTACAGCTCACACTGTGCTATGGCTCATTTTTATATTGGGACATTGTGTAGCTGAAGCAATGGTCCCACCTCTTGGGGACAATGGTCACAGAGTGAACGATAACTCTAGAGGTTCAATGAACTGTTTATGCCACATCAGCTCCAAAAGCCTGTAAGATGATCCTGCCACTCAACAGCCCTTTGCAAAATTCACAGGAAGTAAGTCACGCGTCCAGAGGAAAGCCAGAGCACACGGTCACTCATGCTCCACTTGAGATCCTAGGATCTGTCAGTTACTTAGAAACAAACCCAGAAAGAATACACCAGTCTTGAACCCTGCTCAGTCATTAGGAAAACAACTGAACGGGCCACCAAACACTCAACGAAGCTGACCTTCTCTGGCAGAGGCTGAAAGCTTTCCCATGTGAATATCTATAAATAAGGCAAATTGCATGATAGGATAATAAGAGTTGATGCTAAAATTGCAAAAGTTAAAGGACCTTTCAAAGTCTAAACACAGTTGGTAATTAACAAGAGCAGAATCTGAAGGAGCACCCCAAGGTCACCACTGTTGCATAATCCTGGAGATGGCCAAATGACAAAAGACAGTCATCTCCCAATATCTTCAACAGGTCTAGTTCTTTCTGTTATGCCCAGATGGCGGAGTCCCCCAAAAACCAACAAGGAGACCAAATCCTGTTTGTAAAAGCAAAGAGCCTTTATTCAAGTTTGCCATGATCAGAGAGCCTCGAGCTCAGTTGGGGTGGGGTTTTATCATAGCAGAGGTTGGGGTGAGGAATTTTTAATTGGCTGACATTTGTCTAGGGGTGTCTTGGTGTAAGTGGATGGGTGTGTGCTGGGCTAAGGGACATCTAGTGATCCTATCTACAATGATTGGAATGTTAGGTACTTTCTCTTTAGATGGTCTATTCCCGCATAAGTGCCTGGGTGGTCTCAATTTGTGGTCTTTCCTAGAACTGGGTATTGCCTCCATGGCTGGGCCCTACACCTTCTTCTAATTCTTCTACATGAGAACCCACACCAAGTCCGTCAGTCTGTCTCAAGTTCTGCAGCCACTTGTTACCTCCCAGTATTGCAACTGGCTGATTTTACAGGAGAAAGTGTGAAAACGCTACCATGTAGTTCTTTAAAGTTCATGGTTAATGTTTACTTTTTTAAATTTATTTACTTTTAATTTATGTGCATTAGTCTTTTGCCTGCATATATGTCTGTGTGAGGGTGTTAGATCTTGGAGTTATAGACAGTTGTGAGCTACCATGTGGGTGCTGGGAATTGAACTCAGGACCTCTGGAAGAGCAGCCAGTGCTCTTAACCACTGAGCCATTTCTCCAGCCCAGTGTTTGTTTTTTAACCTAAGCAAGTTTTTATTTTTTAGATTTGATAATGCCCCACATTAGATGTTCTAGAAAAACCTCTTCCCTAATATAAAAAGCAACAAAATGAAACAAAACCAAATAGCTAAATATAAAAATATATTGCCTCAAATAACTATATATTGTCTCCA